ATTTCAGATCTGGAGATGAGGATTTTGAGTGTAATCACATAGTTTGATTAGTTTGCTTGAGGTGCTCCAAACAGCCCTGAAACTTGAACCCCGATCATTATCGCTCATAAAGAGACCGTCAGTATTTCACCTCAGGGCTGGCCGTCTCGCAAAACAGCTGAATCTTCTTAGATATCTTATAATGACAGACTCCTCACAATGTGCCGCTACTTAATCCATTATTTAGGTGTCAACGGGACATCTGAGGAATTTAAAGCATCTGGAAAATAGAGACTGGAGGTGGAAATAGAGGGAAAGTGTGGAAACTACTGTGTTTTGGGGATGAGGTTCAAAGGCTAGTATGATGTCTCAAAGCTATTGTTTATGGCACTGACGAATTGTATGGAATAATTAGATTTTTTTGTTTAGCTTAATTACATTTTCAATGGTTTTGTTTTGTTCTCTGTTGTTTTGTTTTGATTAGTTTTTTGTTTTGCTGTTTGTTTTCTTTTTTCTCTTTGTTGTTTTGCGCTTTTGTTTGTTTTTATTGTTTTACTTTTTGCTTTGTTTCTTTGCTGTTTTTTGTTTTGTTTTATTTTGTTTTGCTTAGCTTTGTTTTGTTTTTTTGTTTTGTGATTTGTTTTTTGTTATTCTTTGTTTTGTATTGCTTTGATATTTTTGTTTTGTTTTGCTTTTTTTTTTTGTCTGTGTCTGATGTAATATCAATAGAAAATTATTTTCTACACAATACTTTTTAAATGCATCCAGTACTACAGTTGAATTAGACATTAAACCACATTAAACGCTTTGATGGGGCCCACATGTTTTTCCATAAAATCCAAAACATCTGAGGGGATCAGCTGTGAATCCTTTTCCAAAGAAACATTGCAGAATGTCTTTCCAAAGTCAGCTGTTTCATTCCATAGGTCTCCACAGCTGAGCAGACAGACTCACAGAGATGAGGAACCCCTGTCACTGTGTGTTTTATTCTGATTTCTGATAACAGTTACACAACACAAATTTTATCTGCTAGGAACCGGTCAGGTTCCTTTGTGGCTCAACAAGTTTATCAATTGTTGCTTCTGATTGGAAAGGTTGCGGCTGTCTTTTTTAAGCATACATGCTCAGTGATGTGAGGATGGCCTTATCACTTTCTCAGGGTTTATCAGGTCTTGTGCGACAAGATGTGTTCTTATCTCAAAGTCACCTTCCATCCTGGAGCATTTGCTTTTTAAGGATCCTGACACACCAGGACCAGACAAAACCAGATATCCTTGTGAATCTTTAATGAGGTTCTGAATTGAAAAACATTGAAAGTTACATCGAAATCCTGCTGTTGAATGTAAAAACAGGCAGAGATCATCTCAACTCTGTTCTCGTAGCAGGTGGTGTCACAAACAATGTGTGCAAATGCAATATATTCAGATTAAGGCCTTTATTCCCAAAACGGGGTGTTCAAAATGCAGACCACAGTGCTTTATTTTAATGTAGAGGTATGCAAAAACATAACCTGTCCTCTTTTCAAAAATGTGTCGATTCTATTGCATGTCTTTTAAAAGCTTAATAACACCCATAATTTGCACAGATAAAAATGAATATTCCAGTTACAAT